CACTTTCGTTTGTGGTCTCTTACAATATTTACATTTGGTTACCTTCCCTCTTATCAAGCCACGATCATTGAATATTAGATAACTTCATTTGTCACTGATCCCAATAAGTTAAGTGATCATCATTCGCTTGTTTTCAATTCTCAAACCTTGTAGAATATTCCTTTAAACAAGCAGAATCCACTTGCTCGGTTTGCGGTTAAATCCTTAATTCTCGATGATGGTGTCTCAGAAATTAAACCTTGGAAAACTGAAACACAATCGAACTTCTCCACTAAGGTTGCATGGAAAACTCTTTTCGTGGTCCAACCTTCGAAAAGAGCCGAAAAGTTTCCGGCCATAGTTTGCTCACGTCCTCAGGACACAGAACTAGATGAAATCAGTCGGTGGACAGGGAGTTTGCTTTCATTTTGTAACGCATGTGACAGAACAGGATGGAAAAATCTGGTGTCCACATTTGCAATCCTCCGCCCCGTGGGTATGTGAACAGCCAGGCCAAGTCAAGCCAAAGTCTTTTTTTTTTTTTTTTGTGCCTTATGCACCGATCTCCTTCCACGGAACCATTGATTGAAAGTATAATCTCTCAAAATCAAAATCATTTGCCTGAAATAGTCTTCATTTAAGAGTCGAAGGGAACTTGTTGAAGCCGTGGTCCTCTGAGCAGAAAGAAACTTACGATAGAAAACAAACAAAGAGCAAACAAATATATAAGGCAGAAGTCCACTAACTGGGCGAATTTCCATGGGAAGCGAAGAAAATTCGAAATATATACCAGTACTCGCGTTGACTGACTGTTGAGGACTGAAAACTGCGTACCTCTTGGGATATCAATTTACATTCGATAATTCAGAAGATCAAGTGAGGCTTACTCGCCTGTTCTGCCATTCATACAAAAACATTCTGTTGCAATTTCGTTTCGTTCTCTTTTTTTGCTGTTTTTTTTTCCTTTTTTTTCAAATTTATTCATAATCGTGTTACTAACATCTATGCTCTTCTGCTAGCTTCCAGTGCCTAAAAAAATCTTATAATCAATATTTGATGCAGCTGATCTATTGAAACGTCCTGGTTTCCATCTCGGAAACTGGCAAATCTGTGCACAGTAGTGTTATTCAGCTAAGTGGATTTCACAACTGTTTGAGTGTTAAGTATCAGTAAAAACCTCAAAATCTCTCAGCGTATGTCTCACAATCTGATTGAGCTTGTTACTGATAACGACTGCGGTTATTGACCTAGAAAAGCAGAGGTTGAGGCAGGGCACGAATGTGTTCTTGGATTTTAAGACGTTTTGATCGCTATACTCTAAGATTTCCGGTGATCGACGGATTTACTCCAAAATCTGTTTAATATCTTTTGGTGTACTCGATTATACGCCTCAGAGAAGAGCACAAAACGGGCGGTTAATTTAGGAAAACTTTAAAAACTGAACAGCTTTTGAGTGCAATTATCTAGCGAATATCGATCCAGAGCTTTCTTTTATATGTTCCACAAATATACAGGTGCACAGGTGAAGGTTGATCATGGCTGTCTTTAAGATCCTAGACGGCATTACAGTTCTCTTTAAAGACAACTAGTTGTTTTTTTTTATTTTTCCATAACATAACTATTCATTTTTGGTCTAGCTCGGTCTTATGCAAACTTTCATATTCTTGCGCACGCAGAAATCATACAGATCTCTATAGTCGACCGTCTAGAATCTAGAGTATGCCTTATTCGAACCGTACCAATAGTATTGGTAACTTGCATGAGGCTATTGAATAAAGAAAAACAATAACAAAAAAAAAAAAAACCAACCGACAAACGCAGAAAAGAACTACTTAGAGACGAAAGGCTGATAGTTTCTAAAGAAACTGTTTGGGGCTGCGTCGGTGGGGGTAGCGAAATAATTTGATAACCAACGCACCGCGTTGGTTATCACCAATCTCGTATCCAACGAGCGCGAATGGAATAATTTTTCTTTTAAATTTCATCAAATCCTGAACGTACGCTTGGATTTTTGCGGCGTTTCCAGCTCCACAACAGTTGGCGCTAAGCATTTTCAAGTCAGGTGACTTGGAATATGAGCTGTTAACCGGAGTTGAGTAAACCAGTCAGAATACTAGACTAGGGCGGATCCAGGGTGTGGCTCGGGTGGTTCGGTCGAACCCCCCAAATTTTTTCTCAGAACGCTGGAAATCATGTTTCCGAAGAGCTAATTTTCAAAATCTTGAACCCCTGAGAAGGGGAACAATTCTCCGAACCCGGCCCCTTGACTAAATCCTGGATCCGCCCCAGCTAGAAATACAGTTTTCGGAGTTGAAATTTTAATAAATACCAGTATTTTTCAGTTTTACAAAAAGGTTAATTATACTTCTAAAGTCAACAATATTACATGAGTAAGTCATTTGAGCGGCCGCCCCCATGTTGTAATTCCTAATACTACAATTCCCCACCTCCTGAAAAATTGACTCTCAAATGTCGTTTACTCTGAAGGAAAATCGAGTACTCACTCGTCCAAAATGGAGAAAGTTCTGCAGGCCCAAGTTTGTTCAAGTTTTTGGGCCAAAGACGCTTAAAGCCCTAAAACATTAAATGCGTGTATGCGCCCACTGGCCAAATAATACGGTACGCATAGTTTACGTATTTTAAAAATCAGCAAAAATGTGGGGTCCGTACTTCTTTCTCAGCGGGTCCGTACTCAATTTTTTCTGCCTGGTAGACGACCTTCGGCTTCACGAGGAGTCAAACATTTAAAATCTGTATTTATATTTTCATCATATCCTTGTTTCCGACTTTTATCTCTTCTTTTTTTTAAAGTTGTTTTCCTATCCCACAAATTCATATTTTGAGATTCCCTACTTGAGGATAATTTTTCACTGACTCAGAACCTCGCGGCTATAAGTTCCATCTGCCATTTAAAAAAATTAGAAGTCCTTTGGGTTCCATTTGATAAATTTCGCGTAAGAGACTAACGTATTGTTACACCTTTGTTCTCACTGATTTGATGTTTGTTTGGCAGTAGTTTAGGGGATGTCGGTTAACGACCTCCAAATACTGTGTGAAAAACGTCATACTTTGAAGATATGACCATAAAAAGAAGATAAAATTGCTTACTTTTTTTCTTCTTCTTTTTTATGAGATAATCTGAAAACGGTTTAGAGTGGATTAAAAAAAGCAACGTCTAATTAAGACGTTCGAAGGCGAAAAAGATTTTGCTGCCATTATCTAAAGTATCAGAGATGGACGCTTGGTCATTTGTCAGCCGTGGTAGATTACTGTTGATTTTCTCAATCTCTTATCAATTCTAGTACGTTTATTAAAAGCGTGCCAAATTTTGGCAGATTTGTCAATTCCCAGTTGTCTGCAAAACTGCCCAGCTGCTTTTCGAAAAGATAGGGTTTTTTTTATAGATTTTTTTTATTAATTCCAGTAATAAAAAAATGCAGGGAAAAAATCCTCTAACTTTTCAAGATTGTGAATGCTACCGTAACCGATCTGTTCAAATTTAAAAGTACATTTTCGGTTATCACCCATAGGAGTGAATGTTACTGGACAAGCTATTGGAAAGGAACTGTCAAAACAAAACCTTATTGTCGCTGTTTGCACAAACAAAGCTGTTTTCACCGCAACACCTGATAATACAGGCGTTACTTCTTAAAATATCCTCGACTTCAGATATATGGAGAGGGCTATCTATCGAACTTTTTCGCAAATAACTGTTGAAATTTTTTTTTTTGTAAATGGCTCGATCTACGTGAAGTCGCGCGCCTGTTCGAGAAATAATTGACTTTCGTAGCAAGACAACATTCAAACGCGGCCGGTCCTTGTGAAGTTTTAATGTTTACCGCCTATTGCCGTAACGTCCACCGGGAGATGAACCTCAAAAAGTTAACTATGAACATCCAATGTTGTAATATTTCTCTTTGGATTAGAAAAAATTACAATAAAATATTACGACCTTCCTAGCAACACTTTTATAACATAATCACGATTTGAGCATTGAAACAAAACATAAGTTAACCGCGAAAACTTTCATTGAAATGCATTTTATCATTAATATCTTAAAACTTAACAATTCAAGGGGTCTTTCCAAGATTCTGGAAAATATGATGCTCTTCTCGATCTATTTACCGTTTAGTGCAATCAAACTCTCACAAGAAAAAAAACAAATATGAATTATATTTTAGTATTGTTTTGTAGAAGTTCCTCGCAGTCGGCTAAAATAACTACTGCAGATTAGAAGCTAAGTAATTGAAGCACTAGTTCGGGCGTCTTTTAAGCGAAAAATAAACTGATTTATTTTGTCGCTGGTCAATGATATTGAAACAAAATTTCGGTCAAAATGATTTACATTGTATCGTCTGAAATATTGTGAATTCTAACCATTTACATTTAATTTTGCCTGTATTAATGCATGTTATTTTTTTTCATCATTACTATGGTATATTTTCAATTTGGATTCCAAAATCTTATGATGGCGATTGTTTTTCCCCTATTTGGGTAAAATTCAAGTAAGAAAGAGTTGTTCCGTTTTTGCTAATGCGATGACAAGTTTGAATATGAGGAAAGACCTCACCTTCAGAACTAATCAATTTGCCTTTTGATAAAAAACTGTTAATTTCCATTTTTCCATTGCCTGAGCGTAGCTTTTGTTTACAATTCGCGATTCTCAGTGAGATTATTTTTTCGCAAAGACGTCCTGGGGTGTTATCAAAATTTTGGTCACGGAGATTCTCATCAAATTGTCCAAGCAAAATAGAAATAATCGTAATTGTCGTAAAATTAGCTTCGAGTGAAAAGATATTTCGAGAAATTTGTCCTCTAGTGCAAGATTTGTTTTTCTCTTTTCTTTGATCAAAAAGTTATCGGTGGTAGATAAATAGTATATTTTGCACTTCTTTCTGAAGCCACTCGCCGAGAGCATCAAGTCAGGAAGATTGACCCGTGCCTACTGATCACATGATGTATACTAGCCAATCAACAATCGGTTTATGCCCGCCTCGGCAACGTCACTTGCTGCCATCTTATTTTCCGATTTCCTTTGAACGAAAAACGATTAGCGGGTCGCTTTTCCTTGTGTTTTGCTCGTTATTTAGGTCCGATGTTTAGGAAGTCATGGTCTTAGCATGACCGCTTCGACTCCCATGCTTCATGGCTCAGACTTGGATGAATGCTGCACCAACGTGTTTGCACTGGTAAGAGTTCACTTCGTTCGATTTATGAGGGTTCTATTTCGGCCTGTCACATGTTACAATGTTCTGTGAGGTTGTTACTCCTTCTAGAAGCATGTGAATATTTATTTGCCAATTACCAAAAGGACGCTTTGGTCCTCTAGTGCAATTAGAAGATCTAGAGTTGAGAATCTGAGGTTAACTTAACGGAAAAAAACCAATTCGCGGCCGTGTTGTAGAGTTACTTGCATGTCGTAATGAACATGTCCTCTATTTAACAAACGGTAGAATTAATTCATTCTAAATATTCTCCTTAATTGCCTCCAGTAAGATGAAATCCCTTGCTTCTGAGTGCTGCATCGGAAATAGTGGATCCCGTGTGGCTTAAGCTAATGCATGAAATCTAGGCTAACAAGTCGTATCGCTGGGAAGCCGTACACACGGCTGCTCTGGAAGTGAATGGATTCTGTGGTACGGTTTTGAAGGGTTAACTAGAGTTGATTTTACAAACAACTTGCTTTGGCGCGTTGTATTCGTTTACACGAATCATTCAGAGATTCCTTTTGTTTGTCTTCAATGGGGAATCTTTCTTGTCATAGGAATTGCATAGCCGTGCGTACATGAACGAGACAAGCGATTATCCAGTCGTCCGTTCGTCTCGCTTTATGACATTTCTCAGGATATACGTGCGTGCTTCTGCGGATTATTTTCTCAAGTCGTAAATAAAACTCTAATGTGTATGTAGTTTGCTCGAAGCTTAAAAAAGTGTACTTTTACTATTATGCCATCGTTATCAGCAGACCAACGCGTTTGCCTTGTTTCCTAACCGAAATATTCAATGAGTAGGCATTTTACCTGTAAGGCGAAGGCCGTATGCTGGGCAATATTTTTCCGGTAGAAGGGCCGATTTTTAGTATTGAATTTATTTCGAGGCACTGCTACAAATAGTTTTTGAGGGTTGACTTTACTTTACCTTAGTGCTAAGTATTGTACTGTTTATGATCTCTGGAAGGGTTAAATTAGCCAAAAATCAGGGGCGCTAGTGTTATTTCTGCCCTAACATATTTATTGCTCGCGTTTTTGCGAACTTGTCGCTGTGTCAAATGTTGAACTGTCTAACTCTTCACTGAGAGAAACCGACAAACTGAATAATTAATAAGACGACTGGGTTTTTATGGAGGAAGAATTGATCTTTACTTGTTTGCTCCCGGGTAAATGTTTCATGTAAGCAAAGAGACCGCCTTCGCGTCATTTTCAATTCGATGATCCTATCGTAGTCTTCAGCGTAAAGGGATGAAATATTCGTATAATATCAGAGTTTTCCTCCTTGCACGTTAATTAATTTTGATGCAAGGTGTACTATAGAATGATAATTACGTATAACTACAATGGCACAGTGTCGGCGGAAATTTTAGTCTCATCCTATTGTGTCTGTATGGAAGGAGAGATTTTCACATCTAGTTTTCTCACGAATGTTGTAGATTTCAGATGCCAATTTCAGAGGGTAATAAACGACGTCATTGACACATTTATATCGCCATGGATAGCTTAATTCAATGTTGTTGTGCAGTGGCAGATTTTTGTTTTGATGGTGCATTGTGAATTTGAATTGTATCTTTAAAGTGTTCATAGATCTTAGTGGTCTCTCGGTGAGTTAGCTTCATATAGGCCCATGACAAGGAATAAACTGCAATCCACAGATAAGTGAGCAATATTTGAGTATAGGTATTAACAGGTTAATCTCTTAAATTTACCACCTCAGCCATCAAACGTGATGCCAGCCAAAACTGTAATTTGTTGAATAAATTTCAGTTTCATCTTCGTAAAATTTCATTTTTCTGAGAACTTTCAAGATTTTTTTTTCCTTACAAAACTGGTTGACTAATCACTAATCAGAAATTATCAATTGCATTTTTTTATTGGATATTATAGGGTAACAAGGGAGGATTTTGAGAAACAGAAGGGGCATATAGATTTCATTATAATTACACTGTGTGAATGTTCAGTTGTATGTTTGTGTAAATTGTGGTCTGAAAAGATTCTTCTTCATTATTTGATCTGTATTTGTATGGTGCTGTTAATGATATCCTGTAAATAGTTGTCTAGGAATACACGGCACCCTTGGTCTTCGGACTAAGGTTTTTGTTTCTTAGGTGCTTATCTGGTGTGGTAGTTTGTTTCTCTTGCATTTTCTGGTTTGGTTTGACACATCTGTTGCACAGAGATAGTTAATCACCAAACATTGAATTTTTTTATTAAGTGTAGACTTCAAACAAAGTGATTTTGTATTAAGAATTTTGTATGGTGTGCACAGTTAGGTTTTTCTTTTCACTTCTTTACCTACTCCAAATGAAACAGTATTGATTCCACATTAGTGAAGGTGATTAGTTGTGCCATAACATTTCTAATGTTTACATGCAGCCCCATGTATTGATGTGATTACACATCCCAGTGGATATTATTTTGTGATTCTGACAGTATCTGTATTCAATTCACAAAAGTAATGATTGAGTGGTGATGCCATATTACCAACAGATAGTTGAGGTTTCCTTAAATTGCAATCCTGTCTTAATAATGTCATTGACACTTCATGTTTGCAACATTTTATTTGGTTTTTGTTTTTGTTCTTTTTTTTTTTTTTTTAATGTACCATTCTGATGATGTTCTTGTAATATTCTGCTTCCTGGCTTCAATGACACTGCTGAAGTATTTCATTTTGTGATAAACTGAATTCTTTATTAGATTTGTTTTTTATCTCCCAAAATTTGATATCATCTTCTAAACCATGTGTCAATTAAAGGGCTTACATTAGGCTAAGCTGTGTTGTTGTGGTTATGCTGTTATGACGTTAATTAGAAGCCACATAGTAGTTTTACAACCCTGCCGCGGTGGATAACCTGGAGATTTGTTTGGGAGATCTCTTCAGGGAAGGTTGAAAAAATGTATTTGACCTGTTCTGTGCCCTCAGGAGTGAAAACATTGATTATTTTGTCACTTCTCCTACAGAGGCTTTAAACTTCCTGTTCACATTATAGTAAAAAAATTCATGCATATTGATTACATGTTTGTCAAATGTCTTCTAAAAGAAAGATGTTATTCTTTTTTGTGATAAGCGTAGGACTGTGCTCACCCTTAATCAAATAGGATCACTCTTTATTCAGTTCTATTTACTGGTAATCAAAGCTTTAACTTACTGTCTTTTGTGTTTTATTTACACAAATGTCAGCTCGTTTACACCAAGAGCGACAGTGCTTGACACTGTGACATTGTTGTGAAATCAGTTTGCATTATTGTTATTTCTTTTTAAGTTGAAAGTAGTTTCTTGCTTTTTTTGCAGTCAAACAAAACTGAATGTTTCACCAAATGTTAAATAATGTCTTACCAACTTTTTTAGTCTCACTAAAAATTTTATGGGAATATTAATATGCATATTGTTGATATTAGTATAACTACTTTTGCTGTTATATTTATTTGTAATTTCTGCATTATTTGTTATTGTACTATCATTGATTTGTTATTATTGTTGATAATAGTCATGTTTTATAGATTATATTTTTTCTCACCATCTCCCCTAGTGAGGGGAAGGAAAAATGGTTTGCCAGAATTGTTAAGAAGGAAAACCTGTCAACAAAACCTGACAAGAAAAGATTTATTACTTAAGAATTCAACTGATGTAATTTACACTTCGTCTAGGAAATAATATCCCTCTGCTTAAAAACCCGGCATATCAAATTTTGGAAAGCAGGCCTTTCAAAAGAACACCTGTGTTTTGAACGAGGTGTCATCATCGATCTCAAAATTATTTGTAATAAATGCTATTGAATTTTTCAGTGGTTCATAGATTTATTCAATGCTTTGTATAGATTCTATGTTATATTAGTATGTTTGGTAGGTGTGGCCATGTTGAACATGAAGACAGGTTTAACCTTCTAGAGGATGAGATTAATTTTGTGGTTACCATTTTAGTCAGGTTTAGCTCTCTCTTTTATTGGCTTAGAAGTTCCAGAAAGAGTCTCTGTTTACATGTCTATCTTACAGCTGCAAGTGAAGTCAGAAGTAGGTGTTATGTTTGAGTTAACTTTCTAGGATGAGCAGGAAAAATGGCACCTTAAGTTGCTTTCGCAGTAACAAGGGCTGACCACTCTTCATTTTCTTGCCATGCTTTTTCATACTTTACATGTGGCTGGTTATAAAAATAGTAATGTCTGCTATCAAATTATTTGTTGTTATTAAGAGTAACAGAATTTGTTTTTGTGAAGCCACTATTTTTAATTAATATTTTGATATTTGGAATTGCTATGGAAATGAAATTAAGAACTAATGAACTTGAGTTTTTTTTTTTCTATTTTTATTTTCTAAAGTGGTTTTCCAAAGTATACCATGTGAAAGAGTTTATATGATATTGCACAGCCCCCCCCCACCCCACCCTCCTAGTTAGTTGTTTTTCTTTTTAGAAATGATTATTGGTAAGATTTATGACAAAGCATTGAAATTATTTTGATAATCAGGGAGATGCATAAAGTGAAGGATAGTTATCTTTACAAGAGCTAAATTTTTTTTAATTTTTCTAAGGTTGTGATTCGAAATACACTTTTGTACAAAAATGGTGGGCCAGTGGAAAGGTCAGACCATAAGTGTACACTTCTCAGTACAGAAAAATTATTATTTTTTCATAACATGATATCAAATAAGACATTTTGAATTCTGCGGCTGAATTTTGAGTCCGGTAGAGGAATGAATTCAGATGCACATTAAAATGCTATGACTGATGAAAAAAAAATCTACAAGTACTACTTGCATATCAAGCAAATAAGGCTATGTTGGCCAAACAAGAATACTTTTTTGATTGTCAGACGATTTTAGTATTGTGTAAATTCAGTACATAACTGTACTTAGGTATTGAAAAATGTGTACCTAATGTTCTTAATGGCAGTTTGTGCGTTTCAAGATCACGATTTGTTGCTTAAAATTAGCGAGTCACACTTTCCTTTTTGTCATGTTGCATGAAATAAGCTAAGGTTAAGAGTTTCATTTGAAATATGACTGTGTGACATTAAAAGCCTGATAAGTAGATTAATATGTGAGTACCTCCAATGAAGTTCTAACTATTAACTGACATCTGGGTGCTAAAAGTATTGATCCTAATGCACAATATGTTTGACAAGGACCTTGTGATTTGTTTTAGGAATGAACCACCTTGAATTAAAAAAGGTCTTTTGGAAGGGTAGCAAAATCAGAATGCAAATTATTAAGTAACTGCAGTTTAGTTCAATTTAAGTGGCCATCCCTGTTGCATTTGCTTTGGTAATTAAACGAAATGAATCCTACCGAATTTGAATAAATTCAAACACTGGTGTCATGAAACATGAAAATGAATTTAACATCTCGTCACTTGTTTCTCATGCAGACTAACAATATGACACTTTCAGCTTACTAAGTGGTTTTTTAATTTTTTCTTTGTTTCTGGGTGTGATACTGTAGCAGGTGGTTTTTGCTCTAGAACTTACTTAGTATCTGAGTTTCTACCTTTCCAGTAGATTAACCTGTCAAGTGAGCAGAGACAGTTTTTTTCCCCGTGCAAATTGTTGCCTTCTTGGGCTTCGGTTTGTGTTATTCTACTAAATCATTCTATTGGGTCATATTGATACAGATACTTGTCTGTTCAAACTAATCTAGGACAAACATGTACACACCATGTTTATTTTCTTGTTCGTATGTAATGCTAAGGTCCATTATTCATTTTTCGTCACAACTCTGGGGCCCTAAGGATATTTCTAGGGCAATTATACTTATTAGAACTTCACTAAAGTGCACTTTTGTGTCACTCAAGAAAGGCACAGATCTGACTTTTTCAGTTAAACTCCATTTTACACTGCACAACCACAGATACAGCCAATATTTGCCAAAATTACAGGTATATAGTTCCCACAATTAGACAAGTGGCGAGGTCTTCCTTTTCCTTGGTATTTACATATAAAGTTCTTCCTGTGTTTTATCTGCCAGCTCTTCTCTTAAATGGCATTAAACAGACATAACATTTTAGTCATTAGTGGCATGATACTGGGTTAGGACGTGTTTACAATAGTTGTGCCAATACTATTCAAAACACCTTTCGCACATTAATCTTCATAATTTCATGAGTGATCAATGTATGGGGTCTTGCAAAACCTATCAACCATGATTATTAAAAATGTTTGGAAAAAACCTGTTATGGATAGGCTGTATGATGAGTGCTATTTAAGCCATAAGCAGCTAATGCATCCATATGTAGAATTGTTGGGTGGCATTTTCGCTATCTACTCCACTCAGATGTATTAAACCTTATTTTTATGCATCAGCTACCCTGAATATTTATGTGATCAATCTTGCAGAAATCAAGCCTTATGTATTAGTCAATTTTCAACATTTCCCTTTTAATGTGTAGTTGTGATCATTCTGTGCCTCTTTAATTTCTGGAATATTTCTGTAATTTATGTTTTTGCACTTTTTTCTGTTGTTTGTGGCAGTCGTAGACATTGTAATAAGCACTCCAAGATTAATTACATCCATCCAAGTTCACCCAAATTTAGCTAAAAAGAAAGCTAGATTTACCAACTTGTCTAATTAGTTTAGTCTACTTCCCATAGTCAAGCCGGCAGGTGGTAAAGATTTTGTACTGTTCAATATTGGACCTGTCTCTTAGCTAATCTGCTTCATCCTTACATCAGCATGCATATACACCTAACTATTCTCTACAGCTTTCTTAAGGCACTGACAAGAAGAATTTGTTAAACAATCAGGAGCTCCTTAAGTTCGCAATTATTTTCTTTCTCATCCCCTATCATGCACTGTTATGTCTGGTTCAGTAGTGACTTTGTAAGTAGAGGCTACAGTAGAAGCTGCATTTTAGTCACTCTTCAAAACTGTATTTTTTGAACAGTAGTACACATCAACTGTCATGTCAGCAGTTTTAATGAGAATTCTTCCACATGAACTTATCAATGAATATGATTCAGTCCTCATTTGGTTGCCTAGATGCTGTGACCAATACTTCCATAAAATATTTGATTTGGGATTGTTTTCGCATGTAAAGTGGAGTACCTTTATCAGTATCTTTAGCAGTATCTTTTTGGCTAAAATTAAAACACCATGACAAACTTTTTTTTAAATTTTACTTTAATATGCTTTCATTAACATAAATTTAATGCTGATGCTGGTTTTATTTGCACAAGAATGTTACAAAGCTTTTAGCAGCCAGGATGTAACATTAAGTACAGTCAGGAAATAAGCTTATTCTTTTATTTTGAAAGTTGATCATTTTCTCTACTGGTACTCATAATTAACTTTGCAGCAGCCCTGTGGCATTAAATTGAAAAGGTTAATATAAATTTGTCTTTTTGTTACTTTTTCTTTGGAAATACTTGAGATTTATGGGGTAGACATGTTAAATTATATTTAAGTGACATTTTAAATGCTCTGTTTGAAAAAACTCTGTACCATAAGTTCGTTGGTATCTTATACAATGTTTGCTATGTCTTTTTAGTCAATAAATTATGCAGCATTTTTGCCATCAACAGATGGATTATCATTCACAAACAACATCTGTTGTAGTTGAAATTCAGAGATGTTTCTTATAGTGGAGGTCGAGTTGTCAATTGAAAGCCATTTTATGATATTTTTTAGTATTTATCTGTGTAAAAAAAATTTTAGCAATATTAAATTTGTGATGTTAGATATCAGTTATGGTTTAAGGTAATGGAAGATGATATTTAATTTTTCTTTCGTCATCAGAGCAAGATTTGAAGTCTGCTTAACTCATTAATCCCTTGGTGTGCCAAGCATCTGATTGAACAGAACAATCAAACAGTGCCATGGACTAAAATTTTTTATCTAATGAGCTATATTATATGCACATTTTGATTGGTTTTTATCTAGGATTTATTGGAGTACATTGGTATAGATGACATTACCATTCACAAATGTTTTTTACCTTGCTTTGTTCTTTTACAGACTGATTTATGTGGGTTAAAATGGCGAAAGTATGTTTTCAGTGTTACATGCCAAGCCAACCCTTTGGAGGATCCTGTGTTGAAGTCATTTTCAGCTGCTCTCAGTCATGATATCCTTTGTGCGTGGCGGAGGTGCCCTTTGACAGGTTGTCAATCAGGTGGTGATCCAAAGAGTATCAGTGGTGCAAAGGAATTGTGGGTTTTCTGGTTTGGTGACGATCCCAATTTACAAGGGATTGTATCAGCAGAATTAAAAGGTAATTGCTTGCCTTTCATGTACCAAAAGGTTTTTTGAAAAGGTCATGTCGCATCAGGCACTTTTTCTTCAAACTTTTCATATGATACTTCACATGGAAAGTTGCCTGTTTAACAAACATGTTTTCCAATGCTATGGAATCATGGAGTTTTGCACACAGTTCAGTTTTTGCATCTCTTAAGTATTGTTAATTTAGCAGTACTTTGTTATCAAGTCTTGCAGATGAACTTTTATCATGAAAGTGTTTAAGTCAGCAAGATCTAACTCAACCTTTGTCACAGTGATCTAAAGAGTAGACAAATTAAAAACAGCATTGATCTTACTTCTGGCCAGTGATAATCTGTTCAATGTTAATTTAGCAGTACTTTGTTATCAAGTCTTGCAGATGAACTTTTATCATGAAAGTGTTTAAGTCAGCAAGATCTAACTCAACTTTTGTCACAGTGATCTAAAGAGTAGACAAATTAAAAACAGCATTGATCTTACTTCTGGCCAGTGATAATCTGTTCAATGTTAGTACAGAATTGTTCCTGTCTGGAGAAATTTTATAAGGATATGACCACTTGATCTCTTGAGTGTCAATCCTGGAATTAAACTTTACCAAATATGATGAGTTTGTTTTACTATTATTATTATTAGGGGTATTGTTTAATATCTGTGGCACAACTGTGTGTACTTTAGGTAATTGATTATATCAACTAAGTTGAAAATTAATTGTAAATTGGCCACCGTAACAAGTTAAAAAGCTGACGTTTCGAACATTAGCCCTTCATCAGAGTGAATCGCTCTGACAAAGGGCTAATGCTTGAAATGTCAGCTTTTAACTCATTACGGTTGCCAGTTTACAATTTCAACTTAGTTGTTATAACCAATTATACGTATGATGCACGATCCTTCGCAGTAGATAGCGCTATTTATGCAATAGCGAAAATCAGACCTGAAAAAAATCAGGCATGTACGGGATTCGAACCACTGACCTCTGTGATACTAGTGCAGCGCTCTACCAATAATATTGAGCTAACAAGCCAACTGGGAGCAGACCGTTAAGTTGATTCGTAATAAACCCGTGATGATAAATCAGATACAATGAATATATGAAGTTCATATATTCATTGTATAACCAATTATCTTATTACCCCCACCGACACAGCACCACAGTTTCTTTAAAAACTTTCACCCTTTATTCATGTGTGTACTTTACATTGTCTACCCGTTTACACCCTAACATCAGCATGTATATTCTCTGTACTGTTATCTATAGATTTCCTTGGGTGCAGACAAGGAGAATTTGTTTAATGATCAAGAGCTTGTTTAATTAGTGATTGTTTCCTTTACTCTCCTGACCTTAATGTATGATTCAGGGGTGATATTGTAAGGAGAAATTAGATGTTAATCACTCTTAGGGGTCAAAGAGTTAAAAACTTTTTTTTCAATTTACAGAATCATGCCATGGGTGTTGGGAAGACGGGCTGCCTCATGAACCAAGATCATTATTATTCAAAGCTTTACATAATTTATTAGAAAGGTAAGACAAGTGCACAATGGTTCTTAGGCCTTTTTCAGCCCTTTTAATCCCCTGATCTCAATAGTAATTCTCCTTAATATTTGCCATGCAATTCACATGATGTTAGTTTGGAGAATTTGGTAAAGGATCAACTAATAATCCCAATAACAACCTATAAGTTCTTTATTCCTGTGACTTGTCTGCTTGATATTTTATTGGTATTGTGAGGAAAAATTCTGTCTTGGTCACTTAGGGGAGTTACATATGTAAAGGGTTAACCTGAATCAAATTTTAAGATGCATCTGCTTGCAAATGATTTTAGCTACAAATTTAAGTAGTAATGTCAGTCTTTTTGTTAATTTCTGGTCTATTTTGCAACCCGGAGTCATGCATTCAAACTACATGATATTTTTAAACTTGTCTTTTTCATTCTTGCACCTTTCATTCCAGATGTCTGTTGTCAAGGAAATTTGTTCGTCTGGGAAAATGGTTTACAAAGCCATGTGAAAGCAGTGCAGTGGAGAATGCAAGGTGGATTTTTGTTTCACTTTTTCAAGAATGATAAAGCCATGTAAATCAGCGCTTACAATTGTAACAGTCTTCCCTTGTATTGGTGACATAAACCATTACCATAACTTACCCTAACCCTGAGTGAGAATTCTATTGTCACTTCCATGATCATTGATGTAACAATAGCATTTGTGTTCTTTTGTCATCAGCAGTCATCTTTCATTCTCCTTCTCCTTCTTTATCCATGGGGAGAGTTCTGTTTGTACAGCTGTCGAAATTCAACAGCAACAAAAGATACGTCATCTTACACTTGAAGATATAGCTGTTGCAGGGACCAAACAGGAAGGACTTTCAGGTACGGTGATATATCACAAATGGTTGTGTCTTTAGTTGCAAGAACTGTAGATCACTGTTTTGTAGTGGACTGGAATACTTATAAGGGAAATGGTCTTGCAATTCACTGGACAAATTAATTCCTTGTAAAAAAATCCCATCCTCAGGAAAAGAATGGGGAAAAAAAAAAGAGGGAACAGCTTCTGCAAGATTACAGAGCATACTGTGCTGTGTTCTCCCTTCTTTTCTTATGACAGTTAAAAGATATTTTCAATCCAGTAGAGAAATCCTTGTAACTGTCAAGGATTTCAAGGATTTCAGGCAATTTTAGGTGGTAATGAGAGGTATACATGCTGTAAGTTTGCCAGTTACTGCATGAAAAGGAGAACACTGACTGTACTGCTTATGAAAATACAAAAAGAAATTTAGCAAGAGTATTAAGGGGACATCTTGAAGACCAACTAAGGGAAAGTAATTTCAATGGAACGTCAGCCATGATTTATTTCATGACAATGTTCGTAATTAACTTTGGACCATGAACACAAGGTACACTTAGATTTCCTAGCTGTCTATGTGACCACCAAACACAGGCCCCATCATAGCAACCTTTTGCAAATTTACATGTAGTTGCTGAAATTTTTTTCTAGTGTCCATAGTTACCAAAATGATTGTAGCTCAGAATGCTGTGGTGGGATGGCTGCTGGTGCATCTTGACCTTAAGTTAGTCCTCAGGGGTTTCAAAATGTTTTGAAGTAGGCAGCCGAGTCTGGAAAAGTAGGCAGCTGTGATAATGCCAATCAAGTAGCCGGCGGAACTCCGGCAGTCGCTGGCTTGTTTTGAAACCACTGGGTCCTACTCGTACTAGAAAGCTTATTCTTGAAACCTTTACCTTCAGTTTTACTAGGTCCATATGGGCTATCAGGATTTCTCACTGGGCAGACAAGCCACATGGAAGAGATGGTGTCAGCCAAACTTGTGGAAGAGTGGAAGAAATTTTATCCTCTGGACTACAGTTCTGATTGGAGTGAGCCAGCAAGTTTGTGTCAAGACAAAGGTGTGCCTGTGGCAGTGATGGTTGTAGTGGAAGAAACACAGATGTGGTATCCATCCATGTATGTTGTTGTGCCATATGAGAAGAATGCAATAGTTGGTGAGTGTTGTGCAATGAATAAATAGTTACCGTATATATTTGATCAAGCACCCAACCTCTAATAAGCACATACCTTGTGCATGTACCTCGAACGAGTGCCACCCTGTCAGTTGGAAAAGTTAATTAGTGCCAAGCATTGGATAAATGGATGAGAGGCTCCAGTGTATGCTTTTAATAATAGTTAACAAAAATAACACAAATAATGTTTTGAACTCTGGGGTGATGCTTAATTATTGTCCAGACCATGGTACTAAACAAACAGACTTTTGTGAGCAATTGTTTCTTACACTTAAACACCAATAAGGAAGTCATTAGTATGGGCTATAAAGGAAGGAATCTCAGTGATAGCTGTAAGCTTGTATTTTGGAAACTGATTTGTCCATTGTGCCATGATGGTACATGTATGTTACTGGAAAACAATTATGTCATAAGCTTACAGTTGTAGATCTCAATGGACTAACTCTTGTAACCTCCTAACCCTTTACCTTTAACCTTCTGCAGATGGGTCAGTGCTACCCAAAACTGATGCAGTGACCTGCTCTGGTCCAACATCATTAACCCCTCCGGCATCTCCTCTTGATCCCAACTCTACAGATGTTGTTACAGGTCCAGGAAATCTGCCTCCAGCATCTAATTTAAGCTCTGTTGGAGTTATTGACAAGAAGAAGCTGACGCAGTCATTGGTGCAAGAAGTTTGGCAAGAGATCACAGTCACCAAACCTGCAGCAAAGTATGTAAACCTACAAACCTTGATTCCTGTAGACAAAGGCTGGAAATGAAAACTACTTACCTTCCAAAACTGTTGAACATCTGAGAATAGGATTAAAAGGGTCTGTCTTCTAGTCAATCTTAAAAGAAGCCACCCTCTTAAAGCATTAGACTGACCCTCCATAAGTGGGGATGAAAATTCCAGGTCTTCACCAAGGAAGTGCGTGCCATCTGTAGAAACTCCTCATTGCTGTAAAAAGAGACCAGCCATACAAAGTCCAGATAAATCCAAATCCTTATTCTAGAGTCCCTTTGAGTGTCTTCAAAATAAAAAAAATTGGAAGACACAATGATAAGTTCAAGTCTGAGTAAAAGCTGACAGGCAGAGAGGGTCTAACTTGGTGGTTTGATGGTACTTTCTAAGAAGCTACCTCCACTGATGTTTGAAACATAAATTTCTTGTTGGGTAACCCAGCTGGGCAGTGTTATGCCCAGCTGCAACACTCCTGAATGTTTTACCTTAACTAATTAGTGGATGTGGTTTACATGAAATTGTGCTGGATATAAAAAAAATTTATTTATCCAAGATGTTAAGTGCCTGATTGACAAGTACCTTCCTTTCTCCTTAGCAAAAACATCTCCCTGAGCAATATTTCAAAATCAGCTCCAACCTTCATGAAGACAGACAGTTCAGGTGATACTACCACACCTACAGGACAATGGGATTTCGAGGAACCTTTCAAGCGTACTTCCTGTTCTTGTACATCAAGTAGTAACATCAGCAGGTGAGTTGCTAAGCAACAAAAGCAGAGCCAGCTGGTACAATCATAATTATGTGTATCTCTCTGCATTAATAGAGACAAAACAGCCTTCAGATTAGTTGTGATGACTGCATCATTATTTTTTTTCTGCTAGACCAAAGGCGCCAGCTCAAGTGCGGTCATCATTTGGTATTACAAGACCAATACCATCACCTAGTTATCCATTACCTTCACCACAACAGCAACAACAACAACAGCAACCCACACAACAAAACCAGGGGAATACAAAGTTAAAAAAAGAAAAGAAGAAACCATTGGTGCCGTTTCACCATCGTCAGAGTCTTGATAAAGAAAGACCTGAAGTACTGAAAAGTCCTGTTGGAGCAATGACCAAGGGCTTACCTACGTCAAATGTATCGACAAGTGTCACTCAAAAACGTCATCCAGAAGTTGCATTTCCACAGAACTCAAGGAAATATCAAACAACATCTCTTGTGAACACAACTGGAATATCAGGACCCAAAAGTCATGCGATAAGTGTGAAACCTGAGGATAAATGCTTACAACCTCCAGCTTCACTTCTGAAAGTAAATTCTTCAATAGTATCCTCAAAGGGTATTGCTAATAATCAGGCCGAAATGTTAATGAAGGTAGAATCAAACAATTTTGAAGATTTTGTTGGCTACAAGGATAGTACTGCTTCAGAAGATACTGTGAATAAGTGCTATTCTTTGCCTTCGGAAGGTGGTTTCATTGTTCCTCTACTGCCCAGCAATCCTCTGGACTGTCGACCACTTGGTGAACTTATGGTATCAAAAGAAGTTTCAACACTAAGTCCACTGGAGACAACTATGTGGGAAAGGTATGTGAAAGGCAGAGTGTAAGGAAAGGAGAGAGAGAAAGGCCATCTAATGGCATGTAAGAAGATACTCCACCCTTAAAGTGGTAATATTTCCAGGCCTCAGGTGTATAAAATGGAAGGGAAGTCTCTCAGAGGAAAGCTTAATGGGTAAGGGGGGAAGATACACCTTAATGGCCAATAAGGGAAGACCACCTCAAAGTGGTAACTTTTCAGGCTTCAGTTATTTAAAATGGTGGGAAGTCTTTCATGTACATGTAGTTAATTGTAAGTAGGCCCCTGAAGTTCTCCTGGAATATCATTCACTTACTTCACTACAGTGGTTCAGTAACAGGATGCAGTGTGCTTTTGGTAGGTTGTGAAAGGAGTTACCGTGTGAAAAACATAACTATGCGGGCTTTGACTTGTAATTGTTCTGAATTTTTTTATGTAAGAAGTATTTGATCTTCAATTTTAGTAGTAGGAGACCTTCAATTGATGGAGGGATTGATTGCGTGCCCTCACCTGCTAAAAGAAGAAGAGAATCTTCCACGGGCAGATCCAGGTCAGATAGCACAGGTGGAGGTCGCCTGAAGGGGCGGAGGAACAGCTCTCAACCATCTCCAGCAACCACACCCCTTTCTGATCCATTTACTCCTCAACCTGAAGAACTGGACATGGAACTTATTCCACCACCCATGAAATCACCTACACAAGTGAAGCCTCCCTTAAATAAGCCTCGGCGGAGAAGTAGTGCTACTGGTGGGGACAGTCCATCACTGCCACTACCAGGAGAGCTGAGCAAACCACCTTCACGTGTGAAAAACAGACGGCAGAGCTCTCGTAAAAAACAACAAGAGGAAAAGGAACATTTGTCAAAAGAGATAGAAGAAATCAAGCCTTGCCCAATTGTGAACGAAAAAGGAACATTTCCTAGTTTTTCATCTTCTGATGATGAACATGAACCCATTGCTCGCTTACCAACAAACCTTATGACAGAGCAAGATCTTGCTGTGACTGTAAATGACCTTGATCAGTTGTTTGACACTGATGAAGAAGATGATGAATGTGGGCAATCTAAAGCAAAGATAGATTTTGGTTCTAATCAGGTTGCCTCCTTTGATCCTATCATGAACATAAACACTCCCCATACTATTATGAGCACGGTTGGTGTAACAAATCAAGACTTGGCACGTATGTTCCCCACACCCCCCTCTCAGGAAACAGTGACGCACTCTCCACCATGTTCTGTTGGCAATGACTACATCAGCCCAGGGAGTGTGAAGACAATCATGCACAATACAGTGCTTTCTCCAGAATCACATCTGATGCATCTTCCTGGTGTTGATGTTGAAAGAGAGAAACAACACAGTCCAATGGTATGTCTGTTTCCCTGATCCATTATTTTTTTGTTCAACATTCAAAACATTTTGTGGTGAATATTTCAAGTTTTTTGAGACATAATTATCTGGAAAGTTCCCTTTTGCTCAGGCATTTTGGATTTCTTGTTACTTGTCACCTGTTTGCCAACTATTGTAAGGAGAAGAAATATGTCAATATTATTTAACCCCAAGGAGTGATTGACTTGTAACTTCTCCTGGCAATTCCAATACACATATGTTATCTTGTAAGCAGAAAAGGAGAATCGACAAGCTTATCAGCAAGAGGCTGTTACAACGGGTGTTGTTGTAATGCCGAATTTCCCGGCCTAATTTACAACAGAGTGTATGGCAGTCATTAGCGAGAATTACTAATTGGATATTGTGACTTAAATGGTTGAAGGGCTGAATTCTCAGAATGGGGAATCTCAGTTTTTTTCATACCTGGATTAGACTTAATAACAGGGTGTGCAGGGAGCAGAAAAGTAATGACTTGGCTTTTATCAGGGAGGTTTTCATAAGCCTTCTCTCCATCTCTAGTAAGCCTTATTTTCTGATAAGCCACCATGTGGGGAATCTAAAGATACTATGAAACCCCCACCCACAGGAGGCTTATGAAAGGATTCCTGTTAGGAATCCCTTGATATTGTTAAACCCTTGACTCCTATAGGGGCCTATTAGAGGGTCCCTCCTGGGAATCCTCAGATATCATTAAACACCTTTCCCTAGGCCCCGTCCACACGAAGACGATTGTAAACGCAAACGCTAGTAAACGCATATTTTTATCTCCGTCCACACGAAAACGATCATCGTTTACGTAGCGTTTTCACCCGTCCACACGAAAATGCTCGTAAACGCATTAAACGATGTTTGAGCCTACAATCTGCTTCAGCGCCTTGTTATCAAGTGTTAGCGTCCATGTCGTAAAGTCGCCACGTGCGTTTGTTGTGATCGAGAGAGAAGAAAAATCTCAACCTGGTCTGGTCCAGAATCTTCTCTCTTTGCTCACGTCTGCATCTAAGTCGTTTTACTCGAGTGAAAGTGCTTGTAGTAATGGATAACAATATTGAGAGGTTTAGTCTTCTTTTTTTGTAGTTTTCCTGTATATCGATTATTGCATGATTCAATTGAATGCTCGCAATTATAATTGAAATAAGCGCAAGTACGACACAGCTCAACACTGGTGTGTACGCCATGTTGGAAACGCACGCGATAAAAGAGACTGGCACTGACATCTGACATTAGCGTTTTCACAGCGTTTACGAAAATATACGTTTACAGCCGTCCACAAGAAGATGCATAAACGGCGTTTTCAAATTTATCCACTTTGGAGAGCGTTTTTGAAAATATGCGTTGGTGAGCGTTTTCATCGTCTTCGTGTGGACGGAAGGCCTAAACGCATAAAAAAGTTTGCGTTTACTAGCGTTTGCGTTTACAATCGTCTTCGTGTGGACGGGGTCTAAGAGGGCTTATAACATGGCCCCTGTTTGAAACTCCTGAATGATATTAAACCTCTACCCTCAGGGGACCTATGAGAGGTCCCTTGTCACTATTAAACCCATTCCTACCCCTGGAGGAATTACTAGACACTTGATTAGCCTGAGTTTAATGACCAGTCCAAAAACGTACAAAATAGTTACATATTACCTTGAAAAGTTTGAAGCTTTATGCATGGGGTGTTTACTGTACTTTTCTTTTTTTGTAGGAACTTGGCCCAGTATTTGAGATCCCAAAATGCCAAGAGTTTCCAGTCTCCTACTCCTTTGAAACTGTAGTCAGTTTGCCAGGTTACCAGGAGCTTCCATCTGTGATGCAGTACTCACCTTCATGGCTGGTGAGTTGACAAACCATAGCCACTTGTTCAGCATTCATTGGGAGCCTTAGTCTAATTTTGTTTTGTTTTGTCTCTAACCATTTTGAATTTAGCTAATGGCAGTTGCTAAATTCAAAGCGAAAATGAAGCTTGATTATGAAAGAATTAAAAAAAAAAGCTAGACATTCGAAGAAATTTTTATCCCTGCCTTATTGATTATGTTTGGTGCCTCAGAGGAATGTGTGAAAATTTATTTGTGGAAGTGGTGGTGGTGTTAAAATCTTAGACCATTCCATAGTTTGTCTGTTTGATCGTCTTTTTTCATAAATGATATATTATTTCAGTAGCAAATAGATGAGTTTTCACTGGTGATTCATTGATAATACTCTGCACCCTCAACACAAAAAGTTGAAATTTAGTTGCAACTGGAAAGGAAAAAATGAGACTTGGTCTTCTGAGCCTTTGTCTACTGGGCAACCTCTTCTATGTATGCACTCATTGTTTGCTCATTATGTTTATTTGCAGCAGGCATCCCAGAAGACATGGACATTTCCAGAAATCAAATTGGAGAGGTGAGTAATATATTTCCTGTTTGATATGAATCATGGTAGTTTTGTTGCTGTTAGAATTACAGTGAAGCTGTTTCAGGCAGATTCCGAAACACTGTAGTATGTGTTCCCTGTAAGCAGATCCTGTCTCATATTTAGCAATTACTGCTATAAGGATTTTGGATTCAAAGACGTGATAAACATGCATGTAACTCCTCAAGGGAAGTATTTTTGGCTGAATTATTTACAGTGGAAACCCTAAAGACATCTTGTTTATCTCCAGTTTTATTGTTTTTCACCCTTCATTGCCTCTGGGTTTTAGATTAGGAGTTCTTGCATTAATTACCCATTTGAAATTGTGTTCAAAATTTTGCCAGATTTACAATGATCAGCAAGTCAGACTTTTGTTTTCCATATTTTTCAGCACTGCTGAGGTGTTGAGTTGTGATATCACTGTTGGTGCTCCCTCGCCAGCTGTTAGATTCTCAAGCACCCATCCTGCAAGTGTTAATAGTGATGTCAAACACTTGACCTCTGCTGCAATGTCTCCAGCTTCTCCAGCATCGTCAGTGTCATCATTTTCTATGCCAATGCAATTTCCGAAGACTTTTCATGGAAGTGGACTTGTTGCGAAACCCTTGTTCCAAACTCCTCTGCCTGAAGCAAATTCTTTATCAAAGGTTCTGAACATGTCAGACTCCAGTGCGAACTATTTTAGCGACAAATGCTACGACAGTGTAAGTCTCTGTTCATGTTTGACATCCCCAGAGGGTGTACAAGCCAAAGGGACTATAAACAAAGGTAGAGACTCTGATTACTGTGTCTGTGGCTTTGGTGCTCTCGAGGCAGTGAAATTTACTGCTGGCACAGGTCTATTTCCTGATGATATCCACTCAACCTCAGCTGAAAATGTGAAAACCTTGAAAAAGGTTAATAATGTTCCACAATCTGCAATTGAAGTGAAGAAGGAAGGTTTGGTAGCGCACTGTGTGAGGAGACGAGCATCGTCGGCCCCTGTTTCCTCACAAGTACCATTTTGTTTACTTGAAGAGATTGTAAGTCAGTGTTCCTCGCCTTTTTCCTGTTACAACTTGAAGTTACAGCTCATGTTCAAGGGTCATCATGGAATTGTCAAACATGTCTCAGGTGCATGGTCACAAAATAAAGGTGAGTGTAGTATGTTGTTACTTGTTTCCATGAACATGGCACAAAGCAAAAATCTTGAGTAACCACGAGGATGTTAAGCTCAGACCCTCAGAATTTGCTGTCTAATGCTCCACATCTGAGTGTGAAGTAACTTGTTGGTGAGCTAGGTTACAAAAAAAGGTCCACAATAATTTTACTTTCTTTATCTGATTACAAAGGTAAGCTATTGCAGAGGAATTGGCCACTGACAGGGGTTTCTTAAATTTGTCTACCAGTGTCTAATGACAGTGAAATCCTTGGCTGTGACCACAGGGATGTAGATAATAGCTGGAAGCTGGTAAAATTACCCGGCTGTGAATGCGATTTTTCCAGCTGTAAAGTACTACTTCTTTCTCCAAAGTGTTTTTAAATGTTGTGAGAAGATTGTTATTTATTTATTTCGTTTGTTTACACCTTCATTGCTATCTAACCTGAACTGAGAGGATTGCAAACACTCCATTTAGTGCGACAATCGCATCATTTGCATCACATCGTCCATTTTGCAGGCTCAATGGTCAACGGTATTTGTAACTCATGTATGTGAAATAATGATGCCAAATTGCGTATCTGACTGTTGAAATATTTTTGCTTTATGATGTCAGAGAGCAGCTATGTTCACTACGTAATAATTGAAAGGGTGTTTGAAGATCAGATATTTGATTTGTAAAACAATGTGAAAACAGAGAAATTGTGCAGAATCAGATCTAAATTTTGTTCATCAGTTCTTTAAATTACTTACGGGAAAAATTGAAACAAATGCTGAGTCTTGAAACTATGTGCCTATTATCTCAATTATCATTTGGGGTTTCAGTTACTAAATTTTAATAAACAATAAAAACAGTTAATAGTCCAGTTCATCATAACTTTATTACCTGTTACCTGATAAAAGTCTGTCCTGAATGCCCTTGATTTTGCCCCCCAAATCAAGGAAAATGTATCTCCGAGAGTATGCAATTTCAAAATTTCCTGGGGGGGAGCATGCACCCAGACCCCCCCCCCCAGGTTTAACATGCCAAAGGTATGCTAGAGTGGGCCTTCAACCCAAATACCCACCTATTATTGCTAGATTCCTGCCTGTTAAAAACTTAAGCTACATCCCTGGACCATAAAGCAAAAGTTGCTGGAAAATTTGATAATTATTAAAATCATAACAGGTGGTAATGAAAGGCCTTGTAAGACCTTGCAAGCTGTGCTAGGCCACCATTGACTGGCCTTTCTTGAAGCTTCTGTTCTGAACAAGAATGGTTATTAGAGTAATCCTTTGACAATTTCATGCATTGCAGACAGTTTAGCCCAAGTATTTAAGGCCCTGGGCTTGTAATGTAGTGATACTGGGTTCAATCCCTTTTCCCTGCTACTCATTTGATTTGTGTTCAGTTTTCCCATGTTCAAATCCATGGCTGCGCTTTGTATGCTGTATAGCCAACTGGTCTACCTTCTGCCAGTTGGGAGTTTTAAACTCTATGTTCATTCATTTGTACTGTGCTAAAAAGCCCCTTTGGGGGAGTGGTCAGTTGTTGATATACAAATGCACAGACATACATGTGCTTTACTTCTGGATTACTGATTATTAATCTATTGAGAAAGTGTTAATATGGTATTTTGGGACTTCATTTCTAAAGCCTCTAACTCAGAGTTGCTTCTAATATTTTTCCTTTAGGTGCAGAGAATGGTATTCTGCAAAAAGTTCCTCATCCAACTGCAGTTGGTGCTCTCAATTTTCTTCGTCAACTAATGCAAGATGCTCTGCAAAAATCAACGAGTAGAAAAACTTGGGAGCAGCCCAATGGAACAGTGGTTCAAGGACCTTTGTCTTGGAAACAACTTCATCATCTGGCAACTAAAGGTCTGTTTTGGTTCCTTGGGAATATTTTACAGATCCAATGAAGGATAAGGCCTGAATGATTGGTTTGAGAGCAAGCTATCAATTGAACTCTCATACCCTTAGTAAAGGAATTTTTATTTTAGATTTAAAGATCTTGTGTCTCCACCCATTAGGTAATGAGGAAACACCCCATGCTCAGCCAATTCCATCAGTAACAGTAGGCTATGGAGGGGACTGGATGTCCCTTTCTCCTATTGCATTACATTTTTGGGTGAGTCAAAATATTTTATTTTTGAAGATGCTGTGGTGTAATAGTTTGCTTAGGGACACTGGTTTGACAGGTTTGTTTGTTAGTTTTAAACTTATATTTATTATTATTTTTTTTAATTCTGCTTTTCAGGAGAAGCTCTTGCTTGAACCTTACTCTTGTCAACGTGATGTTGCATACATCGTTGTAGCACCAGAGAACGAGTTAGTGCTGAATAATGTGAAGCTGTTCTTTAAGGAATTCAGTGCAGTATATGAGGTATAGAGACTCTTCTGTTTTAATGAGGCTAATTATAGTTAAGACAAGGTTCAGGTGAAGCAAATGCAGCCATTTTGCCAATCTGATGTAGGGGCCTGTGGGAAGTTAATGGGGGCATTGCCATATGCTTTTGTGCCATCTTTTCTCCTTTTCTCTCCCTTGTATCCTCCCATCCTTTCTTCCTTGTGTCCTCCCATCCTTTCTCCCTTGTGTCTTCCCATCCTTTCCCCCTTCCTTTCTCCCTTCCTTTCTCCCTTCCTTTCTCCCTTCTTTTCTCCCTTCCTTTCTCCCTTCCTTTCTCCCTTCCTTTCTCCCCTCCTTTCTCCCTTCCTTTCTCCCTTCCTTTCTCCCTTCCTTTCTCCCCTCCTTTCTCCCTTCCTTTCTCCCTTCCTTTCTCCCTTCCTTTCTCCCTCCTTTTCTTTTTCCTTCCTCCTATCTCTCCCTCCTTCCCCGCCCCCCTTCTCTCCCTCCCTCTCTCCTCTGACTCTCCTTCCCATGTTTTTTTGTAAGTTTTCGTTCCTCCTGCTGTTTGGTAGACGGTAGAGGTGACTGAGACCCCCTGCGTTTGTCTGTAGCTTCCTTTATTATGCCAACCCTCTGTGTATTGGGTCTACCATTCAACATTCTCCCCATATCAAGGCTGGATAAATGTTGTGAAATTTGAGATATGATATAGTAAAAAAACCATCAACTTAGCAAGATGGGGAATGTGGAATATGGAATATGAGTTTATTGGTGTGGTGTACATCAGATTTTAACCTCAGTCCTGCTTTAAGAAATTTTCCATGGGTTTAGTTGTTGATTATGTAGTATGATGTGATCACTATGCATTTAATTTTTGATCAAGGGTATTATCTTTACTTCAGACTTGTCGTCTTGGTCAACATGTTGCTATCACCAAGGTGCTCAGAGATGGAATACTGCGGATAGGGCAAAAGTCACTAAAACTTGCAAAAGAACCTGTTGATGATTGGTTCTCACATCAAGGTGATCATGACAATATAGTACACATAGTGCAAGAAGCTGATTGCAGAAAATGGGAAAGTTAATGAGAGTGTCTTGAAATTTGTCCAAGTGATTCTTCAGTTAAAATTGTAGACATGAAAGAAGTTCTCTTGATGTGCACTGTGGCATTACTCATCATTTTTGTTATATTTTGGTCTAACAAGTAAGTATCGTTTCCACTTATTAGGTTGTTCGTCTGATGCAGCTAAACTAAAACTGTATGCACAGGTCTTCAAACATCAGTTGGGTGAGTGAAAACAGTTCTAAGTAAATGATACCAAGATCAATTTAGTACACGTAATTAGTTAGTTCTCTTTGTGCATCTATGTACATGAGGCCTTGACTAGAAAATGCCACTTTTCTGTTGATTGCTGTTTGGTCAAGCTGTCCTTATGTCCAGCCTCTGTCTCTTATTTTCCTTCTATGGTTCTCCTCTAAGTTTTCTTAGGGCAGCCTACACATGGTAGTATGATTAACAAATGGTAAACACCACAGCATACACTATTGAGTTATGGATGCACGCGGGAGGTTGCTAAGCACGAAGGAAGCGTAAGAGTTGCTCGAGGCAACTTTCGTGCTTAGCAACCTCCCGCGACGCTTCTTTCGTGCTTAGCAACCTCCCAAGTGCATCCATAACTCAATAGTGTACGCTGTGGTGTTTACCATTTGTTTTATAACATAACATTGATACATTGTAGCTAAAGAGTTCCCTTTTATTTAACAAATCTTACGTGACCAGAAAAAACAAGCACGCGCGGAAATATAGTCTTTGCATTTGCTCGTGTCAGCAGCGTACACCCATGGGCAAATGGGGGACGCTAAATTGGCCAATCAGAGCGCGCACTTTACTTTGGTTATGTTATAATATACTTTGCTGCACAGAAGTGTTCTAAAAGTCTGGTGGTTAAACTGTTGTTGAGCCTTTGAAGGAAGAAATAGTATTGTTATGACCTTCAATGTTTGGTGTGTTATACAGTAGTTTGGAAACATCTTAGTAACTGCATAAACAGGGCAACGAAAAGCTTTTAAGCTGGTGTTTTACTTTTGCTGTTGTTTCATTCACTTGACTTTGATATTCGTTGACCACCTAACAGTGTGTAATTGTGGTGTTTAAACATAGTTTGCTAATTACTTTCAGTATTAATCCACCAGTGTTGTTTCACAAAATTAATACTGCAATCTGATTGGCTATGCTATTTTCTATCTGTGGTGTGTTGAGGAGTTAGTGGCTTATCAATGTGCAGTAGTAAATAAGATAAAATGAAAGCATAAACCTATCTTGTTGTTACATTTAAGTTTTAGATGACTAGTAGATTTATACAATTAGATTGCTCTCAATTTCTATACGTGACAGTTGATTTGGGGCCTCATCCTCATCAACTTTCACATGATAGAAACTCCGAGCTTTTAATCAAATTGTTAGACATAGAGGAAATTAGAAGTAACAGGTCTGAATTTTTATCCCCCCAGGGCCATATCTAGCTTCACTAAATCTAGATAGACATCTTTTGGAGTCAGAGAAGGGAGAAAAATCAGATGAGAAAGGACCTTCCAAGTTTGGATCAGATGTCGGTGTGGACAGTGCACCAAAACCTGGTAGCACCAGGTAGTTGTTTGTACTTTTTGTTTTTATTTGTCATCTTAGTATTCTTTAGAAAAGTTTGAAGAAGAGGCAGTCCATCCATGGAATAAATTGTCAAAATATTTAGGTTAGAACTTTGTCAATTGATGTTTTGATTTGTTATTTTAGTTCTGGCACTCCTAATTCAGAACAGACTCCATCAGTATTTGGAGAAGATGAAAGTGAACAGAACAGTGAGGACCCACCCACTGTTGTTGTTTATATTGTGAACCCCTTCAGTAACAGTTCCAGAGAGGAGAGTTTCCCTTCGTATGTGGGGCTATTGCGATGTATTGCAGACATATTGCCAGACCTGACAGAATCTAACAAAAAGAATGTCGTCTTTCAGGTACAGTCCACAATACTAATAAATTTATTTCCATGTTCATACTATATAGTTTGAACTCTGCTTTAGGGATTCTGTTGGTAAATTGGCCGTAATTGAAGCAACAAAGGGAGTTGAATAATAAAGTGACAAACAGAGGCAGGGTTTTAATGGTATGTGAAATACTGCTCTAGAGGAAGACTAGTCAATAAAAGGTGTTTCTGGTGTTCCCGAGTCTGGTGAAATATTTGATAGGTAAATTTTGGCAGTGGTAGTTAGTGCCAAAAATAACGCGAAACCTAATATAAGGAAATAATATGGTAAATCAATAATTGGGTTGAGCCTGTCCTGCTGAGGCCCAAATGGCAGCAAACAAGGCTGCAACAGGCACAGAATCTTTTGGCATATGATTGCACTTTGGTAACAGCAGCTAGAGCAGTTGTTGCTGGGAAAGATTCTTTCAAAATCATCCAATAGATTTCTGAAAAAGCTTGAAAGAGCGTGAGGGAGGTATCAGCAAGTTGTTTTATAGCAGAAATTTGCATAGTTGTCAGTTGCTTACCAGATTTTTGTTTTGTTTTAGATTCTTGTGTTGACAATTCACAGTTAACAAGAATGTTATATTTACTTGTAAACAAACTTTCTTCCCAGGTTGTTCCAATCCAACAGATTCTCCAGGTGGATACCTTGAATGGCAGTCGTGATGCAACATTGACATTTGTGACACAGCTCAAGTGCTTGGCTTTCTCTGTGTTCTCCAGATGCCGCAAGAGCTTGCAGTTGAATATAAATGCTAAGTCTTTGACAGGGTTTGGGCCTGCTGCAAGGCATGAGGCTTTATTACGTCAAAGAGAGGTGAGCTTTAGTTTTCACCCAGTGTAGTATTACAACATAGTACCCCTAATTGGAAAGCGGTCAAATGCAGAGCAAAGATGGGTGACGTTGAGAGCAGAGATTTTCTTCCACTGTGGCTTGGGTTCAATTCCCAGCCCAGGTGTTACATGTGGGTGGGGTTTGTTTGTTTGTGGTTGTTTTTCATCCTTGTTCAGATGGTTTTCTCCAGGTTGCACAGTTTTCCTACTACACGAAATCAGTGTTTGTTGTGGCATAACAGTACAGGTTAAGCCCTGAACAGCAACATTGGATAGTATAGATTCCTCGTCCTATGCTTGTGATTAGTGTGCAACATCTTTCTTTGTCTGACAAGCAAGCTTATGCTTTACCATCTCTTTTATTGTGTCTCTCATCAGGATGGCACATTGTATCTTCAACTTTTTTTATCATTACAGGTGGAGAATGCAAAAGTGTATGCTGCACCATATGTCCTCTGCCAACCCATACCCATGCCTCCATCTGACTCTGCAGATGAAAATGCAACAAGTTTACAAGCACTAACACAAAATGCCTCTGTGTTATACTGTGGCTATTGTCTCTCCCATGACGACAACTATCTTCTTGCTGTCTGTACTGATAGTGTAGGAGAACTCATTGAATCTTGTGTTATAACAGTCGAACCATGTCTGAGACCTGATGGAAGGCCACGTAAAACTCCTGCACGGACAAAGGCACTCATCAAGTTGTGGGAATTCTGTCAAGGTGTTGTTGCAACATCCCTTGTGCCATGGAGGTTGGTGATCAGTAAACTTGGAAGGATTGGACCTGAAGAACTGAAGGGTGAGAACATCCATAAAGAACATTGTTGATTTTATACAATGGAATTTGACTAGGTTATGTTAATCCTTTGGCCCCAAAGAGAGATTAGTATCTCATTTCTCTTTACATTGTCACCCATGAATCGCACATTGATGTCATGAGATTAAAGTAAATGACCACTAACCAGAGTAGCCCTTGATTGTTAAACAAATTCTCCTGTTAGTACCTTGGGAAATATATAAGGAACTGATGTTAGCTTGTAAAGGGTTCAATAATGATAGTTCATTGCATTAGACTTATCCGTGTACTTACTTTTTGTATGATTTTTTTTTGTTTGTATAACCTTGCAGTTAAATAAAGTAACTGTGCTAATGCTAACAGCAAAATGTGAATCGGAGGAGTGAACCCGCCAGCAGATTGTAATTGGTTAGAACAGTTGACACCAGAGTATGTTGAGATCTGTGATAATGCATGAATTGTGATAATTACAGAATTGCTTTTTTGTCTTTTTTTGTGTGCGAGTATAGACTGGAAGGAAATACTGAGCAGGACGTCTGTTGTGGCAGGGGACCAGAAGTTTAATGACACCTGCAAAGCATGTTTCTCTCTAAAACAGAAAAATCGCCCAGCAATTCTTGGCACCAGTCTCACGTCATTGGAACCTGAACCCTCAATCAGCCTTTACATGGCAAGAGGTAGGTGCTGCATCAACAGCAACTTAAACCTACAAAAATTCCTGGTATCTCCTGGATACATAACACCTAAAATTATTTGCCTTGGATCCTGAAATGCTAGGACTATAAGTTGTATTTGGAGAGTTGTCTCTATCATCTCACTCGTAAGATCTCGGAGCCAATTCTCCCAAGTGATTGTGCAACATTACTTTGCTAGCTGGTGTGGAGAATTTGATGTAGGACTTATATCCCTTAGTGATGAATGCTTCTCTTTACTTTTAGCCTTACCAAAAGTTAATGTCCTGTTTGAGGGCAATAGCAGTACACGTGTGTCAGTTGGTGCTGTTCCCAAACCAGATGTATCACGAACATACATTGCTGTGATGCCAGTTGCTTCACTGAAGTGCACCATGGGAAACCAATCCAGTTCTAAAATGCATGCTCTACCAGAAACTACTACAGAAACAGTCGTAACAGACACTGACATTTTGTTGGCTGGCGTTGACGATGATGAGAATGATCAGGATCCTTTACGGCACTTGTTTCCATTGTTAAACTCGTCACCACCTCATCTATCATCACCTGGCCATATGCTGCCATCTCCCTTAGACTCCTCACCAATTGAGGGAACATCCCTCTTAACACGCCCAGCCACTTTGACAGCATCCCCTGGAGTGTCTGTGCCATCTCCATTCCAACCAATTTCAAGGCTGTCACCTTTTCAGCCATTACACTCTACTCCATCCCCATCAACTGCAAATGTAGCTACACTAGAAGTTCAGGAGGATGGAGATGACAAACTGTCCGTTCCCTATGCTCAGGGATACATTATTTCAACTGTACAAACTGGCAAGATGCCAGGAACATTTTGGGCAAGTTCTTCACACTCTGAAACTTGTGATCCTGTCATTTTGAAGGTAATGTGATTTATCGTGCTGTTTTCAAAATCTCTGTTGACCACGAAAAAATTCTTTGTGATGATTGTAATGGTGGCTGTCCTTTATGTTGTAGGCTTCTCTTCATATACATAATCCAGACTTGATGGAAGGAATGAATGGTTTTGTCACTGCATGGCACCCCCTTGCCACAAAGTCACACTGTCATGTCTTAAGGTTGGCAATTATGTTTTACTGGTATGACTAATGTTGCTTAGAGCACTGAGTGTTACAAGTAATGAAGGATTGCATTAGTTTTGCTTCACAATGCACTGTAAGTGGTCTAGAAATTTCACATCACCCTCCAGTGCTACAAGCTCAAGGTTTTTCAAAGTCACCATTCAGGGACATGAAATCTGAAAATGGTTGTCAATAGTAAAACTTTTGTCAACATTGTGGGGCGACAGTTAAATTTAGCTTGATATGAGGCACAACTTTAGGAGAAAGAGGCAAGAACAGAGAAATAAATTAGAATATTTTACACAAATGCATATGTCACTTTGACCCTTGGTTATTGATATTTAAAGAATGAAAATGTTACAGTTTAGTACTTGTCCTCCAAGCACCCATTTGGAAACTTAAGCAGAAAATTAAGGCATGGAAGTTTTACCACTTGCTATGGCAATCAAAATTGTTGCAGCACTGCCGTCTCAAGCAGTCATGCAACAACAAAATCAATTCTGACATATTCGTCTGTGCCTTTGATTGGTTAATGGTTTTATTTGGCTCGGACGAAGGGCTAACGCTCGAAAGGTCAGCTTTTGTAATCGTTACGGTAGCCAATTTACCATTTCAACTTTGTTGATATATCCAAATTATCTAGTTACTCCCACCGAACCAGCCCCCAAACAGTTTCTTTCGAAACTATCAGCCTTTATTAATGGTTTTATTAATTGTTATAATTTGTCTTTTGCTTTATCAGGTCAATCCTACAGACCTACGATGCTCTCTCTTGGTTAACGGTGGACCCTGTTAACCGAGACAGACGCTCCTGTTTACCAGTTCATTTGTATATGCTATGCCAACTTCATGAGACTCTCTCTCTTCTTCTGGAAAACCAGTCTTCTTAATATGTTTAGAGCCAAGCTCACTGTATCCACTGTGTAAGGTTTATTTTATAAGATGGATTTGAATAACAAAGTTTAAAATTTCCAAGTCTCTTTAAGAGTGGAAATTTTTGCTATCACTGTACTTTTTGGTCTAGTTCTGGTCAGGAAATTATACAGTCAATTTTTTTTTTCAATTTTCTATGAATAATACTTTTAATTTAATAATTTAATGAACAGTAAATACCCTCAAAAAGACTGGAATGTTTAATGATGATGAATGCATTTTATTTGTACACTAAATATGTGGTCTCAGGCTTGAAGGTGTGAATTTATTAACAACAGAGTACTATAATTTCAATTCTTTTCGATACTTTCATCAATCCGTGAGTTGAGGCATTTCTCAGTATTTGTTATAATCTATCTTCAGGAAGCTCCAATTTCCACAGTACAGGGTACTATACATGGTATTTAAGTGGCACTGCCAATCAGTATAAGACCCGCAATTGTATAAGTTGCAACTTTCCCCTTACACAAAAACACACACACACACACACACACACGCACGCACAAGGGAAAATAATTCCACTTTTCAGAACTAAAATATAGTCAGTTCAAAAATATGCAAAAGCATAGACAGGTGTGACAACTTGGTTGACAGTACTTTGGAGTTTGGAATCACTTTCTTACATATTCTTGTCAGGCTTTCTTTGAAATAAACACTGGCATGGATACAAGTTATTAATTTAGTTTTTTATTTATTTCAGTAATAAAGAGAATGCTTCGATTCATTATATTTTGCAGCAACAGCTTAGCAACGACATTGCTTCTTCAATTTGTCATTTTTGTGATATTTAACCCTTTAACCTCTGGGCATGATTGACTTATAACTTCTCCTTTCAGTATCTTCACATTGTAAAGCAAAATGTGATGAGAATTAACAAATTAATAATTCAGAGGGTATTGCTTTGATATGACTTAATTCTGGCAACTAAGTTATAAGGAAATGGCAATGGAAATTGGAGTGAGATGTGTGTGTGTGTGTGTGTGTGTGTGTATTTATTTGAGTATGACTATGCTAAAAGTAAGTCTGGCTTATTTTTCAAAGTTCACCAGGCACAATTTTTTTGCTTTTCGTAAATGTGCCTTGTGGTAGCACACACTAGATAAGAAAAGTCTCAGAATGTATTTTCTTCGCAGGAATTTTATATCTCTTGGACAGAGAAGTTAATAAGACATGGTATTTGGTTGTAAATCATTAATCCAGAAATGCGACAATGACAATATGAACAGATATTTATCCTAGAATTAGACTCAATTGCAGTCAAAATTAGTTTTGTAAAACAATTTTAGCTTTAAGTCTCATCCTAATGCTTTGATTTTCTCCTTATTTCAATTCAAACCTTTTTCTGTGGTCAACTTTGATTTTGTATGTAGTCTTCACCAACACATTACAAGAAAAATGTTTTCCTTGAACCAAGGGCATTCTAGAATAGAATTGAAAAGTATTTTCAAATAGGAGACAGAGGACTTTTCAGGTTCATTTGGCCGTGCAACGAAGTTTTAGATCAGGGTTCAAGATATGGGTGAAAGTCAAGGTTTAAAGTGCAATGGAGTTGGTGGCCTTCATGACATGACGGAATGATTGGTATTGAACTTGATCTAGAATTTCCAAAAAAATAAAAAAAGATTTAAAAGACAGTTTACTACACCCAGGCAGTTATTTAGCAGTATATTTATCCATGCCATTAGAGTGTGGTAGCTGTCATATATAAGCTCTTACCAGTTTAAATTTTTGGACACATTTATCCTCAAGACACAAAATTCTTTCACAATTGGCAGACATCACTTTTAATCTTAAGCTCTTGTATCTTGTTTATAAGGTTTCATAATATTTTGGCCGATTATTTTTCTACTGCCCTTCCACTAATTGTTCTTATTTGGCATGTTCTAAAGTTTCAAGTGAAGACAATTGTATTTTAGTGACATTTTCTCACAAGAATTATCAAACTACTCAGATGCTAAATCAAGAAACACTTAGCTATTGTCATAATGTTAGATATGTGAAAGGACTCTCTGTAGATTAGCTTTTGTAAGGTTGTGATGTTTTGTTCATGTTGATGGGGAACCATGAGTGTAATAGTTATTGTCTCCAACAGGTTGAGGGAAGGTTGTATGTATGAAATATATTTCTTACCTGGCTTTGAGGATTCCTTGTCAAAATTTCCTGTTGTAGACTATTCTTCCCCAGTTCCCAGGAGTGGGAGCAAATTCAACAGTTTACCTCTCTACTGTTCTGTTGGCAACTGATCAAAGAAAATTTCCTATTTCCCTTTAGCAGAACTCTCAAGGTACTCTGGTTTAAATCTTCCAAAATATCTTTTCCAATTCAGTTAGAGATTTTTAGTAGAGGAAATGTGGACAAAAATCAGGCAACTGTAATGTCAATTTTACCTAAGTGTAAGGTCTTCCAAAGAGCCAGGTCAGAATTGAAGAAAGCAAGAATGTAGTTAGCTACCCCAAAGGCTTAGTTTAGATTTTTTGTTAAAATTCTATCTTAACTCAATAACTCTTGTACAATGAGGGTGTTAAGAAAATTGAATTTTAGAAAGCAGATGGGGCAAATAAGTTGTAAGCTCAGAGAGTTTTCACACAATGGAGACTTAAACAAGTAAACTTAAGAGTATGCCAATAAATTCCCGGAATTCTCTTCCTCAAATGGGTTGATGGATCACTGAGCAACATTATCAGTTGAAGTAGATTTGTGTTAGGTTTAAGGTTAAAACAAGATTGGTGTTTCAGTCGCAAAACCTTTTTCAGCCTCAGTATTATTAGACACTCTCACCACCAAGATTTAACTTTCAATTCTCACTGTCTGCTGAAATTTGTCTTACTTTTCATCACTTTTCTGCTTAAATTCCATTTATACTGTAAGGAGAAATTCATTTTCGGTCACTCCCTGGAGTGAAAGGGTTTTAAAGCAATGCAGGATCCTCAACTAAAAGATTTAAGATGTTTGCTATGCAACAAAAATTGAATTGGGGGGCATCTAGCAGAAGTCATGACAGGTAGACAAGTTTGAGCATTTTACTGCTTTGCTATCAACCAAGTTAAAAAGAAAAAAAAAAACACTTGATCATAGCTAGACCTGAATCAATTTAAAACTGAAAGATGCACAACTATGGTATTCTGAGTGATGGGTTTTGTAAAACAAACCACTAATTTTGAATGAAATGGAAGCAATATCTCATTGTTGTCACTGTAGAGTAAAAATAGAGCAAATTTTTGTAGATAGAGAATGTAGATAATAATAAGTAATATTATTATCATTATCAAGATGCTATTTGTGAACAGACCAGAATGCTAATGTTATTGCCTATGTCTTGTCTGCTCATACCATATGAAACCAACATAGTCTGTCAGACCATGTAAATAATTTATTGGACAGACTAACAATGCATATTTTCAGATAATTTCTGGTAGATTGGTAGACGTTGCTATATTTTTTATTTTCAGACCCTATTTCATAAGCATTTAATAGACATTTTTATTGTACTAAATACATTAAACATTATATTGTAAGACCCAGTCATAGAAAATAAAATGATATTTACATACGAAGTCAACCAGGTGGAATCTGTTTTTTAAAAAGATTTACCAATGAAATAGTAATTTTCAATTTAATCTCTGGATACACACTTTTCTTTACTTTATCTTTGATTCAATTTAATGGAAATGACTTGTTCATTTTAAAATCTCTGCAGAAGGTCATTCCCAAAATTAGCACATGTCAAAGATTATTGGGACAGATCACACATAACCAGTCCACTTGATAAACAAGAAAAAAAAAAACATTGATCTTGAACCCTCAAGATTGAAATCATGTCTTCTCAGTTATATTAATTGAAAAATATTAAAGTGAAGACTTCTTTATCGCTTCACAAATACTTTCTCTACAATATAACAAGACAGAATGCTTTTTCTAAGCAATGGGTGAAGTTGGCTTCACAAGGGTGGACCCTACTTGAGGCCCTTGAAGAATTTGACAAAGGAGAATTAACAAATGGTAGACACCACAGCGTACACTATTGAGTTATGGATGCACGCGGGAGGTTGCTAACCACGAAAGAAGCGTAAGAGTCGCTCGAGGCGATAGCCGAGAGCGACTCTAGCTTCTTGAGTGCTTAGCAAACCTCCCAAGTGCATCCATAACTCAATAGTGTACGCTGTGGTGTTTACCATTTGTTTTATAACATAACATTGATACATTGTAGCTAAAGAGTTCCCTTTTATTTAACAAATCTTACGTGACCAGAAAAAACAAGCACGCGCGGAAAAATAGTCTTTGCATTTGCTCACGTCAGCAGCGTACACCCATGGGCAAATGGGGGACGCTAAATTGACCAATCAGAGCGCGCGCTTTACTTTGGTTATGTTATAATTTATTTTAAATTACTTAGAATTGACCCTTTACACCAACCTCAGCATGCAAATGCCCCACACTGTTCTCTAGATATTTTCTAAGGGGCTTACAAGGAGAATTTGCTTCACAAACAAGAGCTTCTTAAGTTGGTTATCATTCCTTTATTTTTGTGACATCAATGTGTGATTCAGAGGTGATGCTGTAATGAAAAATTGGATGCTAATCACTCTCAGGGGTCTAAGGATTATTATAACATAACCAAAGTAAAGTGTGCACTCTGATTGGTCAATTCAGTGTCCACCATTTCCCCATGGGTGTATGCTGCTGACGTGAGCAAATGCAAAGACTAGTTTTCCACACGCACTTTTTTTTTTCTGGTCATGTAAGATTGGTTAAATAAAAGAAAACTCTTGCGACAATTTATCAATGTTATGTTATAAAACAAATGGTAAATGCCACAGTGTACACTATTGAGTTATGGATGCACTTGGGAGGTTTGCTAAGCACTTGAGAATCTAGAATCCCTCTTGGCTATTGCCTCGCATGACTCTTACACTTCTTTCATGCTTAGCAACCTCCCACGTGCATCCATAACTCAATAGTGTATGCTCGGGTGTTTACCATTTGTTAAATGGATTCTGGAAAAGTGGAGATTACTGTTGAGAGGAGCTTAATTGAAATTTTGAGCATTTCTTTCTTGTTGCCTTAAAGTTCAAATTCAATCTACTCCTTCCCTTTTGGGTTATTTTTATATTTCTACCCTCTTACTTTACATCTTTTTGCAGACACAGTAGTTCACCAATGCTAGCAACTTGATGTGTGGTAATTTTCTAAGAACAATGGCTCTTGACCAATAAATGCAACACAATTTTGGCAGTTATTGCTAAATTATTATCATTACTAACAATAATTACTATTATCAAATTTTTATTATCATTTTTTCAGAGGTCACTATGCTTACTGATAAAAGTTGAGCTTGGAAATGCAGGCTCATTTCTCATTTTTGCATCTCCCTGCCTAAGAACCACGTCTGCAAACTTGAGGAGCAAAGGAAATATTTTTTTTTCCCCAAGAATTATTTATTAATCAATCACAGTTTGCTTCTTAAAAAATCAGAACTTCTAGCTTCTAAGGTTTACCCATGTGAACAAATGCTGGTGGAGAAAAGTGACAACTGGAAATAAATCTGCATTTGCAAGCTACCAATGAAAGTTACACTCCACTTATTGCATTAAATATTTTGATGTACTTAATATTAATAGAAATAGGATCAACACAGTTACCAAGCAAAATAACCACGATAGACTTGAATTCCTATCTTGCCCTTCCTTTGGGCCTGTTTTCCTGGTTCTCAGTGGGCACAGCTTGCTCTCTCGGACCCCCATTATGATGTCCCTAGCTTCTGGCCAGGCTCCACGACCTACTAGTCTGTACTGAGCTGGTATACATGGACCAAAAAAGCACCTAAAGGCAAGAACCGGGTCTGTCATGAGGAGGTGCCACAGATTTGGCCTTGCTCCAATTAAAGATGAAATTTCATCGGAATATCTGATAAAGTTGACCTGTTGGCAAAGACAGAACTCCTTTATCCCTTAACTCACTGAACACCTCTAAATTCATACGTCCCCTAACACCCAATTCCACCTCTGTACAAGGGTGAAACATATCAAAGTTCCAAATGATTATTCTAATCCACCTAGCCACCTCCAATAGACCATAATATTATGTAGTTGTGTGCTAAGTTGCCAAGCCTGTGATTTGCAGTGAGACTAAGGGTGACATTGTTGTGATAGACACCAGTATCTAGTTGGCATGATAACAAAGTGATTTATATTTGAAAAGCAGCAACATCTGTATCATAACAAGGTCACCCTTAGCCTCACTCCTGTTCAAAGGCTTGGCCACCAAGCCCACAACTGTAAAAAAAGACTATTTCATAAATAGTTAACAAGTATTCATAGATATCCATCTGGATCATAGATTAAAGAAATGACTGTTTGAGACATGGTAAACCTTTCCCAAAACCATCTAAATAATACTGCAAGGTATGCAATCTTGCAAAATTTATATGCTTCTACAACAAAATTTTATTTAATAATGTAGAACTAACAACATTGTACTCATTGCTACATCTGGGTTGTAATGTGCTATGCATTCAAAGCACAGTTGTTCCCAATAAAGTTATACCAATAAGAGTACTCCTGGAAAAGAGTTGCACATTGCTTACCATATGAAAAGCCCGACAACATTCTATCGTGGAGGCCTCTAACAGTTGCTGTCTTCTTTCAATTTCTTCTACCATCATTTGACAATCAGGAAGTTTAGTTTTGCCAGCAAAAACACTTACTGCCCAGCGGGACTGGATCTCTGCTATGGGTGGAATAGGGCCATTTACACGCACTGCTGCAATGATGGCAATGGTACCTGGATTACAAAATGGTGGAAAGACATATCGGTACAAGGGAATGTACCTGTCTTTTGGGCAAAGTAATGAGTCACAGAGAAATGGAAAACCAAACTTAAACCCAGTGGCCAAAATGATCACATCAATGTCTTCAACTTTTGAGCCATCTCCAAACATGACAGTTTTTTCTTTTGTCTTAGCAATCTCTGCTTTGACTTTAATTGAGCCAGTGATTATGCGATGTGGTAGTTCATCATTTATTAAAGGGAATCTTTTGTCTGGTGGATGGGCTGCTTCTAAGCCAAAGTTGACTAAATTTACACCTTTCTTGAGTTTGTGGTGAAACACCTGTCCACGGATTGTTGATGGAATTGAATCAACCAATCTCGTCAGGAACTTGGTATCTCCAGGACTATCCCCACCTAGCAGGCGAGAAACAACCCAACCACCACTCCGTGTACTCAGATATACCTGTTCTGTATGATGACTCAATTCACAGGCAATATCTCCTAAAAGTAAAAGAAAAAATGACAGATAATGTGCTGTTCCACAACAAGTCTGAGTTAGATTTCTATATTCATTCGTCTTGTCAGCTCAGATTGTCAGTCTAACATGTCATTTGGCCAGTTGTGAGGAAAACAAGCCGGAGATGACAGGAGTACTTCCTAAATTGAATGTTAAGGGATACCGGAAAAGGGATGAAGGGCTCCAGTTTTCAAAAATTTCAGCTATGGAAATCGGTACGAATTTTTTAGGGGACCATAGCCCACCTTGAACTGCACCTGTCTAAATGTCCAGCTAATCTTGCAATCTACATACCAGACAGACAGACATTCAGTCATATTATGATAAATACTCCATATTTAATACATGATATACCTGCCGAATTTCCCATGCCAACCACTATCACACGCTTCCCTTCAAAGTTTTTCCAAGTTCTGTATTCCTTACTGTGAATGACGTCACCACAAAACCCATCCAATCCTGGAATGTCGATACGAGGTTCGTTATTGACTCCAGAACAAACCATCACAAAATCGAACGTTTCGACCTGATCACAGTTCTGCTTCAAATCTTGATAGCGAACTCTCCATCGAGCATTTTGATCCGTTTTCGAATCTGACGTTGGCTCTACAGAGAGCACATTTGCCTCAAAACGAATTCTCTCCTCCAACCCAAACTCTTTCGCGTACATTTGAAAGTATTCGAGGTAATTCTGCTGAGGAAGGTAATTGGGCCATTCATTAGGCATGGGAAAATCGCTAAAGCAGCTGACGTGCTTGCTAGTGTTAGTTACGGTAGAGTAGGCCACACAGCTCCTTCTATGTTTTTCATCAGCTAAGTCAGTGTATTTCCAAGCACCTCCTAGCCAAGGATCAGTTTCGAAAGCAGTCGGTTCGAGACCGACTTCTAAACAACTCTTGATGGCAACTAAGCCAGCCGGACCAGCACCAATAACGGCAACTGTCTTTGCCATACTTCTACAAAATTAAAGAAAAAAAACTGGGTAAAAAAATTCAACATCAACCAATGATTTTAGAGGAGTTTCCGGAAGGCACACATAAAGGGAACAGATGAGCTGCGTAACAAGATTGCGTGATATTCTAAAAGATCGAGAGAGACTGGAGGCTAGTATCCAGACTGCTCTTTCCTGTTCGTCTCACATTAGTGTTCATGAAAATTCAAACATTTGTAAACAAGCTGAGAACTAAAAAAAACTTGCTAAAATGCAAAGAATTACATCTCTGATTTTAAGAAAGTATGGAAAGTGGGAGACCTAGGTTTGGTCGCAGTAGGGGAAGTAGAAATGCGGACAGCGAACAAGCGACAACAGAGGCTTACGACGGTCGCGACAGAATTCGAAACAGAGTAAGAAATTTATACTGACAATACTTTACCTTTGGTTTCAATTGGATACTCTGACCCAAAGATCATGCTTGCACTTGTGGTTAGTACAAATACTGGAAAGATCTCCGTATAACCTCATACCAATCAAAAACAAAGTCGTAGTCCCAAAGGAAATCTGTTGTTTTGCCTCTGCTTTCCTTTATCCAAGAATTGAATGGCACAAATTATGAAGTATGGGGTTATACGGAAATCTTGCAAGTACTAAAGCATTTCATTTACCTAGGAAACTTCTCTTCCGTTATGTGTCATTTTAGGACAATAATGAACCTTTTGTACCAGTAAGTGAAGATGGTGTACGGACGAGCTCACCTACATGTGAAGTTCCAGGGACTGCATCAAGCAGATGGAGCTCGCTCTCCAGGTATACCATGATCTGAGTAACTTGGAAATTATTTTGCAAGACTTGCGTATAACAACATTTTGACCACTTTGATGACGAATATCGTTGTGAATAAGAGTGCAGACCATGCTAAACCACTGTTGGTTTGTTAAATTCAAAGTATTGGTTTTAAATACATCTGTTATTAAATTTTAGGAGCACTTTAACTCTAGCCAGAGCGACCACTAGTGGAAAAGAAAGAAATGACATAATAAATGAGTACTATGATGAAACAGGTGTGGTAGCAGTTATAGAATCTTGGATAAAACAGCTTGTTGACAAGAAGGAATTACCTTACAACCCTTATGTGGATTTGGTTTGGCAAGCAAGACAATGTGCAGAGAGGTAGTACATACTATGTCATATCTGTAATTATTCAAAACCGGATCATTGGATAATGCAATTCAAGACTTTTTATAGGCTTAGCCATTATGGTATATCAGCCAATATACCATAATCTACTAATATGGTAAGCGTACGTGCCAGCTTAATATCAAAAGGGAGCTAAAAAATCCAGTTTCTTCTTCCAAAATAATAATTTCTTGGGGGCGTTTTTAATAAAACAATTATTCCACTCGTGCTTGTTGGATATGAGATGATTATAGCCAACTCATATCCAACGCGTGCTCGTGGAATAATTGTTAATTAACCTTTAGAGCCCTAAGTGTGACTAGTATCTAATTTGTCATTAAAATATCACCCCTGAATCATACATTAAGGTTACGAGAATGAAGGAAATGATCACAGCCCTAAAAATAGGGAACAGCCCTAAAAATAGACTCTATATCCCATCCCCCCCTCCCCATCATGGTTGTCCCAAAGAAACTAATTTGCTAGTTAAGAATAGATCTGAGCCGACCCAATGAAAGACCTGGTAATAAAATTATGTTCACTCATTTAGTTTTTGTATGATTGCATTGTGTAATTACTGGTACCCAATTTAACTATTAGAGATTGAAAAGTGATGAATGGATTGGTTTTTTTAAGTCTGCCTCTTTTAAAATAATTTTATTGCATTGTTTCCTTCTTGCTGTCATCTATTCTTCATCACTTATCCATAATTAACTTTTTAAAAAAAAATTAAATAATTTTAATTTCTATAGGTTTCACTTATTTGAAGAAGAAAATACTTCAGTTCTTGAGAAGATAGGTAATTAATGAATAAACAACTTGCTATACCAAGTAATTCTTAGCCTAATACTTGCCTGTTTATGATGCTTCAAGGCATTGTTTTGTTAGAGTATGGCAAATGTTGACCTTACAATAAAAAGTGGGCATTACAACAGGTTTCGAGGGATTTCTCTTTGTATCAATTAACAAACAATACCAAAACAGTGTAAGAGTAATTTTTGTGAGACATGATTATTGGACAGTCAGGTGTAATAACTTTTTGTGATATGACCTGTGCATTCTTAAGTAATTAAACTTGTCTGAGAACATTTCAAAAAATCATTATGTAAGGGCTGAAATAAGTCAACAAGCCCTGTAAGATGGGGGCTAAAAGAAAGCAGAAAGAAAGACACAGAGCAGCAGTCTTATGATTAATTGCTGATTGTTTGAGCGAGGTCAGGCTGAACAGGAAGCCTTCTTAAACTCTGGCTAAATCATGAATTATAGACGTGGCTGTGCTGGGTCAGGTCCCCGCATCATGCACCTTCATCCAAACTTTTTCCCTTTTTGACCTGCCATTTAGGCGATACATTCATAAAATCTACTCATTGAAGAGAACTTGCCTTAAGAAAGTGCACCCTTACCTTGTAAGAACAACTGCCCAGAAATAAAAATGAAGGCTGCATTGCATAATGACTGATTTAGTTTATTTATCATCAAAACAACACCTCCAGAAAACCAAGTATTCAGTGTCGGAAGTTACATTTCTCGCACCCAAGACAGTCCAGCTCACTGGGGTCTATCAGCAATACTGCATGTTGTTAACACAGAGTTTCTTAGTCAGTTTGACTATCTGTTGTCAAGTATGAACTCTGATGTGTCTACAGAGGACTCTGAAGATTATTTGGTGAGTTTAAAGCAATATGTTACATGGAACTTGCTGCCAGGACTAGATAAAAGGTGGCCCCCTTGGGTAAGCAATGGCTTTTAGCCCTGAGAGAGCCCCCAAATAGAGTACTGCCCCCATAGCTAGGAATTCCCCACAACCCAAACATATGCACCCATTCCAGGAACTTGCCAATAGTAATTCAAACAGCAGATGTGGTTCCACTAATCCAATTGAGCCTGCAATTTAGAGGCTGACCACTGACTTCATTAGCCTTTTAAGCTGGTGTGGTTAGTAATTAACTAGTAAATGGAATGCTGCATTCACTTTTAATTTTCTATGGACAAATG